GGACAAACCCAGCAATTGGGTTGTATTTAACCCAGCATTTTTAAGAGTGTAGTTTTTCTCTCAATCAACTTAATCAGCTTGTTCTGTATAAGCAAGTTAAGTTCTTTTCATTTGATATACAGTAGCTGAAAGCTCACCAACAGATTATTTTCACTTAGAAACCACAAATCCAATAAAATTGTACATCCAATATACCTTTCTCTGAGGTGAACTTGAGACCTTTAATTGTATCATAAATCCATCTTCAGCGTCAGGAGTTAGGCACAATGAATTGCATATTATCTAAATGCAAAACCCAAAAGAAATCGTTATTTAGATGTTTAGCAACGACCACATAAAGCAAACTTCTTGCCAGATAAACAGCAAGCAAGTGCAACATGTTTTCCAGGGTTGTGGATGGAATCGTGACGTCAACAACCAGTCCACCATTCAAGTTCATTTTAGGGAAATTTTCTGTCTTTTGGAATGAGGAAAATTAGATGTAGAATAGAATTAGGTGTTATTATCAAACCCTATGATCAGCCTCTTTCTTTTGTTATTGTAATAAGTGTGAAGATAATTGAGTGCTTGCTAACTTGTGTCCAAAAGTTCAACATACTTTTCATAAAATTCAATTACTTTAACTTGAATTTTTATATGAATGTAGTAACATAGTTTTAAACATTTTTGTTTTGCTAGATTTCAAGTAGATAAAAGTAACTCTAATTTAAAAAAATCACCTTGTAATCAGTGAAGCTGACTTGACTGAAATGCATAAGCCGCTTGCATTGATTTCAGTGGGAGTGCTCTAGGTTGCATCGCTTCACTACCAGCATAAGCTGTAATTTGTGTTGTGTTTCAAGTCTCAGAAGCAAATCCCCTACGCTCTCTTTTAAAAAAATTTTTTTAGTTATAGCCTTTGATTCAAATGACAGGTTAGGCTATCTGGGCGATGCGTATGCACTGCCGTCTATAGCATACCTATGCATTAACAATGTATTTAAAGCTGCTTTCCAGAATATATTCATAATAATTACTCAGGCTTTGTGGTGACTTATTCCTCTTTACAAGTTTTTCTCTGCTATTTTGCAACATGGTGACTAATTATTACAGGTTTATGCTAATTAACACTGTAATAATTAATAAGGCATGTAGTAACATGTCCATCCAGTCAGGAGTTTGAATGTTTTGCAGTTAAACATCATTTAGTGAAATGACTTGATGGCTCATTGCATGTTTCTTGTGCTTCCATATAAAATATAGTGAAAATCATTCAACAACAGTGAGTCAGAGCAACAATTTGCAATCTTTGCTCTCAATTTGTGAATATAATTATTTGATTAATTGCATGAATTATTAGGTCCATGCATTCTCATACTTGCTCAGTTGAGGTGTTTTAGGGAGTCATAATAGTCGGTGCATTTGTTAGGCCTTTCAGCTCTCCTTTTCTGCAAATCAGTTATTGATATTTGATGAGTGAAAAGCATACTGTTGCTCATGTCTATGTGTGATAAGTCATGCAGATTAAAGCATGTGAATGATGAAACACTTTACAGCTTAAATAAAGGTGTGAGGCATTTGAATAGAGAGAAATGCATTGCTGTCCTCAGAAAACCCTCAATTTGTTGCCTTTTACTTTATATTGCATGAATTGAAATGATCTGCTCCTTTGCTTTTAATGGAACAGTACAACCAAAAATCTAAATTTGCTGAAAATTGAATCAGCCTCAGGCCATCCAAGATGTACAGTAAATGAGTTTGTTTCTTCACAGGTTTTGAGAAATTTAGCATTACGTCACTTGCTCATCAATGGATCCTCTGCAGTGAATGGGTGCCGTCAGAATGAGAGTCCAAACAGCTGATAAAAGCATCATAATAATCCACGCGACTACAGTCTATCAGTTAATTTCTTGTGAAGTGAAAAGCTGCGAGAAAGCAATATTATGGACAGAGGACTCGTACTTTAGCTGGAAGCAAGGGTTTGAAGTTAAAAATGTCATAATGATGCATTTATTTATTACAAACATGCAGCTTTTCACTTTACAAGACATTAATTGATGGACTGGAGTTATGTTGATTACTTGTGGATTATTGTGATGTTTTTATCAGCTGTTTGGACTCTCACTCTGACGGCACCCATTTACTGCAAAGGATCCACTGGTGAGCAAGTGACGTAATGCTAAATTTCTCCAAATTTGTTCTGATGAAGAAACAAACTCATCTACATCATGGATGGCCTGAGGGGCCAGTACATTTCTCAGCCAATTAAAATTTTGGGATGGACTAATCCTTTAAACATATCTAAGAGATACGAGCAGTTTGTACCTGCACCTTGAGCAGGCCAGAGACCAAGTCTGTATTTCCTCAGATGAAAAGATGTATTAAATGAATAGAGAATTATTCAGGGACTTTGAGAAGAAGCTGTGCATCTGTGTCCAGACAGGAGCTCGCCTCATGTAAAGTGGATTTGGGTTTAGTTGATAGATGTTGTTGACTGGAATGAAGTAAGTAGTTCCCAGAAAGAGCTAGGAGGGGTTTATGATGTCACTCTCATTTCTGTTGAAGATTTTATTTCAGATGCAAAGACAGATGTGTTGTTATCCCCCCTCCCCCTTTCTTTGTAGTCAAACTTGGACATGGCGGTACTTGTTTTGCTGTGTTTTTCTATGAAAACAAAATGTGCTGATTGTTAAAATGAATGGAATGGTCATGGCTGAAGGGCAAACTGAAGACTTCAAAGTGTCAGCAATTTTGCTTAAGTTATTAAATCCATGGCATGCCTTGTCTGTCGTGATAGTTTCATCTTTCATCTCGTTTCAAAAGGCAAGCACCATGTGGCTTAATTGGTCCCCACCAATTGTGAGTAATTAATATGGAGTTATCTGAAATGAGATCTCTGATCACAATCAGCACTGTTTAAATTTATTTTTGTTCTTGAGCATGTGATCAGCTGAATCAGCTCTTCATCTACAGACACTTAGTTAACGCTTTGACTAAATTTCGTCTAATCTTGCGACATAGCTGAAAAGGGAATTCCAGAACGCAACCACTCTACTGTACTGTAGAAGATCCAGCATCAAAATACTGGCTGATATTTCATCCAAACTGTCATCTGTTACAGGAAATCACGATCAGTCGACTACATCACTGTCAGTCAGTTAAAGCATGATAAAACCACATGATGCTGCCATTGCTGAAAGAGTTAAAGGAGGATTTGCTGCCATATTGCATTAGTGTCTGTTTCGAATCGGTTCGAACCTGCTGTTCAGCTGCTTGCCATTGCTGGCTAGCTCTCTCCTCCGTTTTTAATCTCCCTCGATCTTGTCTATATCTCTTGTTCTCCTCCTCTTTTTCTTGCCAAGGCTGATTGGAGTGAAGCACCTTTGCTTTGTCTTGTGTCTTCACCCAAAGCCACTCTGACAGTGAAGTATGACTTGGGAGGGAAACAGTAGCCAGGTGGTCGGATATAAATTTGGGCAGGAGAAGAACTTTTGTACTTTGTACTCTGTCTCTTTAACCACTTCCTTTTCTTTTTCTTTTTTTGTGTACTTGTTTAGAGAGTACTGCTGCATTGACCTTTTGGAGTTCATGACTATTATTTCAAGACTGTAAATGTATGATTTTTTTTTTTTAGGGATTAAAGTTATTTGAAGCCTTGTCTAGTTTTTCCTGTGAAACGTGCTTGTCGTGGCATGTTTACCTTAATGTATATGTGGGTTATGTGTGCATGTGTTTGTGTGAAATCATTTCAAACTGTATGTCTAGTCTTGTACACCAGCTTACACTAGTAGTTCATTTAATATCTACAGTAATAGAATAAATGTTCTTAATCAGTACATTTCTCTTGTTTTGCGGTAAAAAAAGTCTAAATATTGATAAAACAAGATATGCTTACTTGAGAAGCAAAATTACATGAGTAATTCGCTAAGAAAAATAAACATTTTTTTTTAAACTTATAACTTTGCTTAAAATGAAATATTCTGAAATAAAATAATAAATAAAATAAATACAATTTAACCTGTGAAACGTGCTTGTCGTGGCATGTTTACCTTAATGTATATGTGGGTTATGTGTGCATGTGTTTGTGTGAAATCATTTCAAACTGTATGTCTAGTCTTGTACACCAGCTTACACTAGTAGTTCATTTAATATCTACAGTAATAGAATAAATGTTCTTAATCAGTACATTTCTCTTGTTTTGCGGTAAACAAGTCTAAATATTGATAAAACAAGATATGCTTACTTGAGAAGCAAAATTACATGAGTAATTCGCTAAGAAAAATAAACATTTTTTTTTTAAACATAACTTTGCTTAAAATTAAATATTCTGAAATAAAATAATAAATAAAATAAATACAATTTAAACTTTAATATCTCACTCACACTTTAATATATCACTCACTCACTCACTTTTAACAACATTTTCACAGTAAATTTAAAGCTTTAATTTTTTTTTATGTAAATTTAGCTTTTCCATCACAGGAATAAATGACATTTAAAAAAAAATTTCAAATAGAAAACTTAAAAAAACATTTTTTTAATAATATTTCACAATATTGCTGTTTTTACTCTAACATTTCAATCCAATAAATGCAAATAAATGGTGAGCATAGGACATTTCTTTCCTTTTTTCCCTTTTTTTGACATTTATTTATTTTTATGAGACATTTAGTTACAAATCGTATATTGGAGTTTGTTTGAGATCTCTGACTTTGGTTTCATTCGACTAAAATGCATATTTCTAATATTAATAAAGTGATAGTGATTTTGAATCAATACATGGGCCCTCATAATGCTTAGTAACCACAGACCATGTGTCCACTCACATATCTTTCTGTGTATCTGTGGTGTAGAGGTGGTTAACTGAGAGTGCTTCTTCTAATTTAGCAACAGAAATACCCACATCAGAGACTGTCGTTTCAGAGGGCACTGGCATTCCTTTGGTCCCTACATTTCCCAGAAATCCTTCCACCCATTTCCTGCCAGCATATCCTCACATTTACACACAACAGGCTGTAATTACCCACCCAGCTGATCCGATCCAGAACCAACCACCGAGAAACATGGAACACAAAGATGCCTCTGTAACCAAAAGTGACACAGTATACAGGCCACGCTTCTCCTCTGGACAGAGACACAGCCTGTGGCCGATTCTGTCAATCCTGTTTCTGGCTCTGTTTCTATGGGAAACTAAGCAGAAAATAAGCCGACAGCACGTCATGTGTTAATGACAATAGCTGAATGCCAAGTTCAGCTGGGATATGAGGTGCCAAAAGAGGCTAAATGAACTGAAACATTTCTCATCCAGTTCTACCAAGACCAAATTATTATCCGAGCTTTGCTACCCACTAGGAACAGGCAATCGTCGATATATATTTCAAGGTCAATAAGATTTTTTAAAAATACATTAATACTTTTATTCAACAAGGATGTGTTAAATTGATCAAAAATGACAGTAAAGACATTTGTAATGTTACAAAATATTTGATCTGTTCTTTTGAACTTTCTATTCATCAAATAATCCAGAAAAAATTGATCACATCTTTTTCAACATTGACAATTCTTGAGCGCCAAATCAGCATATTAGAATGATTTCTGAAAGATCATGTGACACTGAAGACTGGAGAAATAGCTGCTGAAAATTCAGGTTTGCTATCACAGGAATCAATTAAACATTTTTTTAAATCTATTGTAATAACATTTCACAAATGAACTGTTTTTACTTTATTTTTGATCAAATAGATGCAGCCTAGATGCATAAAACATAAATAAAAAAATAAAAAAAAATTTTACCTACCCCAAACTTTTCAATGGTATAGTATATTTTGACCTATATATATATATATATATATATATATATATATATATATATATATATATATATATATATATATATATATGAAAAATGCACATGGAAAAACCGTTCTGAATTAATTCACTCAAATATTTGATTGATTAATTCGATTTTGAAATTAATCCAGTTTACAAATTAATTTAATTTGGTAAATAAATCAAAATTGTTCTTTTTGATACATTTAATTAGAGACTTTCTCATTACTTGTGAACTGCAATCCTTATCATTTTAAACTTATTATTATAGTTTAACACATACTGTATTGCGTAGAATAAAGTTTGCTAATGGTATGTGGGTGTATACGGGAGATTTATGATGGTCATCTGTGTCCCTCTCTCTTTTGTTTGATGTTGCACCATGGGTCAAAGGTCAAGCATTAGTTGACCTATGGGTAGTTAGGAGCTTCTGTTCTGTACCTGATGCCTGCTCAGACCTGTTCAAACCAGTTCACCTACTAGCTAATGTGGCATCTGCTAATCATTCCCTTTAAAGGCTATTAAAAAGTGTTTTATCTTAGGCTACGATATAACATGCTGTCTATAGACAGTCAACACAAGCCTGCTGATTCAGTAGCCCCTCACTGCAGAACAAAGATCCAGGGGGCGGGGTTGGATCCACATCTAGGGGGTGGAGATGGTAGGTTTAGGGGTGGAGATGGGTGGGTTTAGGGATCGGGGGGGGTGGAGACGAGTAGGTTTAGGTATATGTAAGGTGGTAGGAGTTGGATCTGGATCCAACCTCGCCCCCTGGATCTTGTGTTCTGCAGTGAGGACCATCTCTGCTGATTGGGTTGTAATTAATGCTTTCTCTAATGATAATGACTTTGCTACCCATTTAGTTTTTTTAGAAATATCACAATGCCCTAATCACATTTAACTTTTGCATTTAGGGCAAAACTGGTCTCAAACCTGCATTTTTATTTATTTTTTTTTCCATTTTTCATTGTACTCTTCACAGGAATTTTTGTGTTTTGCTAAAGCTATATCTGACACTGTTATTTTCTCAGAAGTACGCAAAGGTCAGTGAGAGGCGGGAGAGAGATTGAGATCTGCTTAACCACCATCACGGTACCCAACATGCTGAGATATGTCAGATGCCTAGTTTAGAAAAATATCCATATTTATAAACATGAATTTGGAATGTGCTTGTATAAAGTTGGCAAGAGAAGGAATACCTCAGCCGCCTCCCGTGCTGCCATTTTCTGTCTGCGGCCATTTATTTTGGCTCAGGATGTAACAGCCCATGCCATCCACTCACGGCTTCCTGTTGACCTCTGACTGGCGCCCTGTGGAGTCTGTACAGGTCAAAAGGTCAGCTATATCTATCTGCTGTCATGTAGGGATGGGTCAGGACAATCAACTAGTCATTAGTCCATTAGTGAGTTTTTTCTTCTTTTTAGCTTTAGTATGTTTGAACAGTAGGCGATGAATGTAAAAAACTTCTCAGAGAGGGTTTTTAACATGCTGATGACATTTGAAAATTTGTTCAAAAATTGCTATACATTTCACAAATAAATTATATTTATTTTAATATATGAAAAATGCTACACA